CTAAAGGCAACTTGTAAAGTACACTCAGATCACAATGCCCTCCCACCCAACCCTCCACCATTCCCCCAAGGAAACACCAGCTCCTCCCCAAGGCCTACTGGGGCTCCCAGTGCAGGCCCCTTCTCCTGGGGACACTCGCCCCACAGAACATCTTTAGTTCATCCCCCTCAGGCTGACCCCTTGCATGGATGCTCCAGGCCCTCTAGTGATAGCCTGGCCTTTGATTCCCTGCAGGAATCAAAGCGGGAGCTCTGGCCTAGAAGCTGACAGTCACTTCTTGTCTGGGTGACCTCAGGCAAGTTTTTCAACCTCTCCGGTCCTCAGTGTCCTTATCTGTAAAGTGGGGGTAACAGTACTCACCTCTCGGGGATGCTGTGAGGACTGAATAAGAGAGGTGCACAGAAAGTGCTTACAGCAGTCCATGGCATGTGGCAAGGACTCCTTAAATAGTAGCTGCTAGTATTACTGTTGTTAGTACTGCTATAATTATTATCAGGTCCAACCTGACCTTGGGGTCAGTCCTACTCAGGGTGAAATCAGCAAAGCTCTGAGAGGCCAAGTGACACTCCCAAGGTCATAAAACTAGTTGTGACAGTGACCATCACGAGCCCAAATTCCTGGCTCTGCTTCTGCTGTCCCTCTGCCAGCCCAGCCTGGTCTCAGCTGACACTCCGTGAGGCCCACTAATTCTCCATCACCCCCCAGCCCACCCCGCGACTCAGCGGGTAGGAACGGGCTCCCTCCACAGGTGTCCCAGCAGGCGCTGCCGTGCTGGCCGGTGGCGAGAGCTGTTTTCCTTGGCGCCAGGCCCATGGCTATTTTGTAGCTAAGGTGATACATAATTCCCCATTTTAAGAGCTTCCTCTTTGATTATTACAGCTATAGGCAATTAGAACGGGCTCTGATACAGAGGCTCCAAGATGAAGGCTCCCTCCTCGCCCAGCCGAAAGCTCCTTGTCTCTGTTCCAGGGGCTGCAGCCAGAACTGGCTGTGCCCTTAGGCTGATATGAGGATCACCTGGCCAGCTTTGGCACGTACTTGGACAGATTCAACCTGGTGGCAGCGACACTGGATTTAGAAGAGGTTCCTTGGCTCCCCCTGATTGAAAACTACAGGGACTTACTCTGTGTTGAGCTGACTGAAAACAGTTTTCTATTCTCTCTTCAAAGACCCTTAGTGTAGAGAGGCTTTCGATTTCATAGATGGGGAAGCTGAGGCTCAAACAGGGAAGGGGATTCAAGCCAGAATCCCCACCTTGGTCTGGAGCAAAGCTCAGAGAGGAGGAGGCCTCTGCACTATTTGCAGATGGGGACACTGAGGCAGAGGTACAGAGGGAGCGCAGAGCAGGGCTGGGGACTGGACGTCCTGCCTGCCTCCAGTGCCCTCCCACCCCCTCTGGCCCCAGGTGCCCACGGGCCAGCTACCTGGGCCTTGAATTGAGTTGCAGATGCGGCCATGGCCGTCTCCTCCAGCATCTGCCACCTGAATCCAAGGATTTGGGAAAAGTCCCCCTGCAGAACCTGAACCTTCTCGAGTGAACAGCTCCCCAAAACAATGACTTATATCTCTCACTGTCACTGACTTAACCACTCAGGAGCTTCTACCATGGGTTTTAAATAAGAGGACAGGTACTTTTTCTGTTTCCTCTTTGGATTACTCCCCCCCCCTCCCCCCCG